TGCTTCTTTCCCCAACATTGGTGATTTCAATCTCCCGATGGAAAGGCGGGGAAGAAATTATTACGTACTAGTTCATTTTGAAATCTTCTACGTACGGAAATTACCCAATTTGAAATCACACCATCGATCAATAGCCTCATTTAAACTCGTAACAGCATCAGGTTATTCATTGTAAGAAGCGTGACCAGTATGAAATAGATGTTTAATGTCCAGTGCGCTCTAAAGTCAAGCCATATTTACGAATAGTGTACCCGCAATGCCCCGTAGATAGGCTCGAGATAGGCCTTTCATGCGGGTCGGTAATTCGCGGTCTAGAATTTAATGTCCCTGAAGTAAATAAGGTTTCGGGGGATGCATGGATCCTCGGAGAACTAAGAGCTGGGCGGAGGTTAGTTTGAAATTCAAAATTCTGTAATCTGGGACGCTGAAGCCTGAATGATATCTTTGACAGTGACAGTTACAGTGGATGGGTAAAAAATGCGGAGAGAATAGCGCGCATCACTAGACCCCGCGAGCTCGGAGACTCCATTATTTCCAACCATTTGAGGATTATATTGGTTCAACTTTGCGAGGATTATAATTCTGACTGCTGATGAGTAGGGATGATCGATGGATATCAGCGGCTTATTGCACAATATTTATGCTGAGAGTTATATAAGTGAAAGTGCCTACGTGATTTTAGCCCTGTCACTTCTCCATGAATCCACATTGTTATCTCAAGAGCGATTGATATTATCTCTAAGTTGCAAATATCTCTGTACAATTAGATATGGAAAATATCTTTACAATAGATCAACATAAATTCGAAACTCGATATGAATACCAAGAAAGATAACTTAGATAAGCACTTGTTTTGCTAACCCCTTCATCCTCGCTTTGCCCGAGACGAGCCTCAATCTCGTCAATTCTCATGCTCCCAAATTCCCAGATTTAAAACCTTCGTTCACTGCCTCGGTCCGATAGAAGTTAAAAAGGGTTTATGTATAGGCAAAAAATTCTTCTAGAAGAATTATTAGAGGCAAACTAGTGAAGCCACCACCGTGACTGGTGTCGCTCTCGATTGTGTGGTGGTCAAGGATCTAGACCTTGTGAAAAGGAACCCCTCAGACTACTCTCTCTTATCTACCCCCCCTAGTGTGATCCTTACTTTGTATGCGGAGCTGGAAGCCAAGCTGAATAGTGCTAACTTGAACCAATCATACTGCAAAACATCGAGCTACTATTATAAAAGAAGCTTAGTACATCAAATGCCACGATCTGAATCGGGGCTGACCCCCGAGCACATTATGCCTATCTCTCACTAGTTAGTACCGAAATCATCGTGACAAACCAGCCTAGGTCATCCTATTTGAATTTCTCCCGCACATTTGACGACGCAAATTTGCAATGAGATTGGCGTAAGTACAACTCCATACTCCAATCTTATCTGTTATCTATATGTTATCGTCCCAGAAACATGCCAATACCATTCTATTGGATACTGGTCCACGCAGAGCTGGGATTTAATCTTGATACCCATTGATAAACGTGATGCATAGGGTTTAGTTCTCTCTGGCTAAAGTTTGGGAGTCGGGGTTCCCGTGGGTCAGGTATCACCATAAGATTTGTATGCAAAGTGGTAAGCTTTACCATCCATTTCAACACAACCGTTAGCTTCCCTCTTCCAGTCAGTTGCGGGAAAATAGTCGTATCACTTACAAGGGAGGCAAATATCCCTAGCCTTGGTTCGATTTGGATTACCCGTATCATTTACGAAGGAAGAGGCGCCGATAGGTGATGCATGTGTGCAGACATGCATACGCCAAAGCCAAGATCGCCATTAGTGGCATATACCAGAGCGGTAGGTGCGACGATAGATACTCAGGGCAGAAAGCTTCGTGTATAAGTACTCGATGTTACGCGATGTAACTCCAGATTTTCTGTATCATTATTTAAACGTCTTGTCTTTTACTCACTCGGTGCTTGCGATCACAACTTCGTATTTCGATATCATACTCGTTGAGAGTGAATCGAATTCGACTCCCCCTTCTTTTCCTCTCTTACCAGGAGCAATCCAAATTTCGAAAAGGTAGTAAGAATTCCTCTAAGAAATAAATATGGCTTTCGACGATAAAGAGAAATACACGACTGATGTGTCGCCACCATCACCTGCTGATGGCGACATCGAGGTTGGCCAGTCTGGACAATTGAAGAGACAATTGAAGGGCAGACATATGCAAATGATCGCAATCGGTGGTTCTATCGGAGCTGGTTTGTTCGTTGGTTCAGGTTCTGCTCTTCACTCCGGTGGTCCAGCCTCGTTGGTTATCGATTTCATCATCATCGGTATTATGTTGTTGCTTACTGTTAATGCTTTGGGAGAACTTGCTGGTAAGACCACACCGTTCCTATTTCAGCTCTTTTCCAAAATGGCTCAAGCTAACATCACCTTGCACAGCTATCTATCCTGTTGAAGGATCCTTCTATAATTACTCCGTTAGATTTATTGACCCAGGTTGGGGATTCGCAATGGGATGGAACTATGCTATCAATTGGCTCATCATTCTCCCCTTCGAATTAACAGCTGCCGGTATCACAATTGGATTTTGGACCGACCCAGATAATTCAGGCAATCCATCAGTGAATGTTGGAGTTTGGATTACTATTTTCCTTGTCATGGTTACTGTCATCAACCTCTTCGGTGTCAAAGGATATGGAGAAGTGGAATTTGTTCTCGGTTTGATCAAAGTGATTGCTATTATTGGCTTCATCATTCTTGGTATAATCATCGACTGTGGTGGTGTGCCAACCGATAACCGTGGCTACATTGGCGCCAAATACTGGGAAACCCCTGGTGCTTTCCGCAATGGCTTCAAGGGATTTTGTTCCGTTTTTGTGACCGCCTCCTTCGCATTTGGCGGAACCGAACTCGTAGGATTAGCTGCAGCAGAAGCCGATAACCCACGAAAATCGATCCCCAAAGCTACTAAGCAAGTCTTTTGGCGTATCTCCCTCTTCTACGTCATTTCACTCTTTCTCCTCGGTCTTATCGTCCCATCCGACAACGAGATTCTCTCAAAAGCCTCTGGCGGTCACACAGCCTATTCTCCCTTTGTCCTTGCTTTCCGTTTGGCAGGAATCAAAGTACTCCCCTCCATCTTCAATGCTGTCATCACACTCTCCGTTATCTCGGTCGCCAACTCCTGCACTTTCGCCTCTACCCGTACCATGCAAGCTCTCTGTGCCAAAGGTATGGGTCCATCCTGGGGTGCAAAGGTCGATAAACAAGGTCGTCCAATCATTGCCATTGCCATTGCTCTCGCTTTCGGTTTCCTCGCCTATGTAAATCTTGCTCCTCAAGGTTCTACCATCTTCACATGGCTCCTTTCTATCTCTGGTCTTTCCAACTTCTTCACCTGGGGCTCTATCTGCTATGCTCACATTCGTTTCCGTAAGGTGTGGACCATGAATGGTCGCACAAAGGATGATCTCCCATTCGCAGCTATGTTTGGAACAATTGGATCATGGATTGGTCTTGGCCTTGTTATCCTATGTCTTGTCGCCCAATTCTATGTCGCACTTTTCCCCATTGGTGGAAAACCAGATGTAGAAGCTTTCTTTGAAGCTTACCTCGCTGCTCCAATTGTTATCCTCTTCTTCGTTGGATACAAAGTGTTTTACCGACAATGGTCTTTTGGCGTAAATCTCGATCAGATCAACGTTGATGAGGGCAGACGTGAGATGGATTTGGTAGCGTTCAGAGAGGAATTAGATGAAGAGAGAAGAGTCAAGGCAGCTTGGCCTTGGTGGAAAAGACAGTGGGATTTCTGGATGTAGATCTCTTACTATGGGATGGAGTTTGTTGGTTTGATTAAGATATCCAGATTTCAGGTTACCTATTTGGGGGTACAGAACATTGTTCGGTTTATGAATTTATTTTGAGGTTTGGCAAGTCGAAAAAGCACTAGTCAAAAATGAATGGAATGGATCTCGGTAAATGTTGAACTCTATGATATATACCCAAAAATATGGAAACGTTATGATTACATATATCCGTTCACTGTTGTGTCTTTCGTTCGAGATACGCAAGTCATTATGCATTTGTTCTTCGCCGCAACATCGTAAAACATCAGAATCATTTGTCTGTCAATTTATTTGGAAGTACATGGATACTTACTACTGATCTCATGCATCCCAACTCAAGTCATTACAGAACTGTCAAAATTCTTATTGGACTGAAACCACCTTCGTGATAATACCTATCTCAGCAAGTAATGAACTCAACAAAACCAAGACATCAAACACTTAACAATATCTATCAAGAAATCTCCAATCAATACTTCAGGCAATACAAGACGAACAGTTGATTAAATCCAACTGCTCAAATGACAACCGTCTAATCAATACTTTGCTCATTCCTTTAAACTTCATCAACGTTTACAATCAAAGCCGTTTTTGCCGAACTCGATCACTAATCAGGAGAAACACTCGCTTCGGCAACCATTTTATGATCACTAATCCATCACTAGGCACGAAAGATTTACGGAGCTAAGCATCAAACTACACCTGGAGATATATCACTTCTTAATTAAATGGCAAGTCAAAACATGAACCCCCCCGTCTGAGGCGCATACGGTGAGAGATCTAACTGCGAAGTTAGCTAGCTTGAAGGAAGTTGTCAGTGGGCTTTTCTATGATGCTAGGCAGAATAGTATGAAGTTCCGAATCTGATTAGAAAACAATAAAGGCATGTCGAAAGATTACAAGGTGTGATTATTGATCATGTAGACGTGATTCTTGATCATGTAGATTCGTATATTCAAGTTAACTGCCATGTGTACTACGATATTCATCAACCCATCACCTGTTTTACTTCAAAAAATCAAGCCCGAGTAACACACCTTCAAATATCGCAAAGCCTCTTCTGGCGCATATTCCTTATCACATTACACCATATCCAAACCTGCGTGATATCGATACACACATCGCCGCAAGACGCGCCATCATACCCAGACGAAAATATGACAGACCCCGAGAAAACATCCCGAGAATCGAGTTCCTCGGAAAATCTCGAAGTGACGCCAAAGTCACCACCTCTTGATGCCAACACAGGAAGAGATCTAGAAAGTCAGGATCAAAGAGTAGTAGTACCGCCATTACAGTGGAATGATCCGGACGATCCAGATAATCCTCTCAATTGGCCTGTGTGGAAGAAGAATATGCATATTTTTACTCCAGCTTTGATTTCTTTCTCCGCGTATGTATTGTTTTGCTTCTTTTCTCCGTCTATGTCTTTTGGTATCTTGGATATCCTAGAATACACTCTTGCAACACGCAATTGTTTTTTTGAACATTGAATTTGTTTCGAATAATTTCAGTTGGGGAAACATCCAAAAAGTAATTTGAAATGTCCATAGAAGAAGAGACTTTCCTTTAGACCACAGTTAAAATTATTAAATCCCCCAACCCCACCACCCTTCAACTGACCCACCTCCAGAACCCTCGGCTCCTCACTCATATCCCCCGCCATCCCCTTCATCTCCCTCACCTTCCACACCAGCTCGACCGTCTCCATTCTCCCCCTCTCCACCTACGTCCTAGCTCTCGCTCTGGGCCCCCTCCTCGCAGCCCCCCTCTCCGAATCTCTCGGTCGCAAACCCGTCTATCTACTCTCCGTCCCCCTGGGCTGCATCTTCACCCTCGGCTGCGGTTTCTCCCAAAATATCGCAAGCCTTTCTATCCTGCGTTTTTTTCGCCGGTCTGTCATTTAGTCCGCGTTGGCAATTGGAGCAGGCAGTATTGCGGACTGCTATACTGCGGAAAAGAGAGCGCGTCCTAGTGCGTGGTATGTTATGAGTCCGTTTTTGGGACCGGCTTTGGGGTGAGTGTTTGGTTTTAATTTTGACCTGATCTATAGAGTAAGAGAATTTCATTAACAGTCTTCATATAGACCCGTCATAGGTTCCTTTGTAACCGTCCGTAAATCCTGGCGATGGACTCAATGGACATTAATCTTCTTCTCCATCTTTTCTTTCCTCCCTCTCCTCCTTACCTCCGAAACCCTGCACTCACGCATCCTCACGCGCCGTGCCAAATCTCTCAACCAACCTCTCCCAGCCTCTCCATTTCCCTCTAACGCAGCGAAGATGAAGTTTCTCCTAACAGTTACCCTTTTCCGTCCCATTCACATGCTCTGTACCGAGCCCATCGTCGCCTTCCTGAGTCTCTACGTCGCGTTTAACTTCTCCATCCTTTTCAGTTTCATCGCCGCTTTTCCGTATGTGTTCAGAACGGTATATGGATTTGATACCGAACATAGTGGATTGGTTTTCTTAGCGATCGGTGTTGGATGTTTTCTGGCTGTGATTACAGTTCTTCTCTGTGATTCGTACTTATATCAGCCTTTCGTCAAAAAATCCCACGAAGAAGGGAGATCGGGTATCGTAGCCCCGGAATACCGTTTATATCCTGCGATGCTGGGAAGTTTTGGGCTACCGGTTGGGTTATTTTGGTTTGCATGGAGTGCGAAGGACAATGTTCATTGGATTGTCCCTGTACTTGGAGCCGTGCCTTTTTCGTGGGGAAACTTGTCAGTTTTTATTGGTGAGTTTTGATCATTCTTTCCTGCCAATATCTGGACACTAACATGCGAGGATGAAGCATCAGCAAACTATCTAATCGATACCTATCAAGCATTAAATGGAGCATCAGCACTAGCAGCATTCCCATTATTCATATTGCAGATGTATAAAAACCTGGGAATTGGATGGGCAACGAGTTTGTTAGGGTTTATTGTTGTAGGGTTGCTGCCTGTCCCATGGGTACTATGGATTTGGGGAAAGAAGATCAGAAGTGGCAGTGCATATCATACTATTAAAGCATAATCCGAAATGTACCTACATCCCATGTGATCGAAAAAGGGCATTGTATTATGTACCTGGCTAGCGAAGCGCTAGCGATTCTTTGTATAGAACCAGCTTCTCACAATTTTAATGATCAAGAACGATTACAACCATATTAGACTGGAGTACTTTACACTTATCAACTTGGTTGATAACAACAGTGCCCAATCGAGCGGAATATTGATAATTACGTAGTTCAAGACCCCCCCCCCCCCCCAAAAGCGAAAAGACCTTAGGTCTACCCATTCTAGTAGTTGACGAGTAGTAGATTCATTGCATCAAGATATGAAATGCGAAGTGAATTTGGCACTAAAAGAGTTAAGATTCGTTGTTCGTATACTTGAAAGCTGAGTGTTGAATACGCTTCAACTTGAGAAGAAAAGAAAAAGATTTCGATACGATAGTCAAAGAAGATGAACAGAAACCAAGTATTATCTGGGACCCAGAAGAAAAAAATCGTGTTGACAAGGTGCAAAAATCTCAGAAAATCATCATATATAAATCAGGAACAAACGACTTAAATACTGCAAGCTATTGTGATTGCCCCAATCTTCATCACCTCCACAAGCTGTCAACTCTCATCCACCTACAACAAAAACACACAGCTCCCCATTGCAAAATCTAAACAAGAAAAATAAACATTTTTCATTTCGTATTCCTAGTAAAAAACTCCACCCAGCCCATCCCAACCATACTTTCGCCCTTGCTTGCCTAGGTACATCCCAAATAAGATAATATCCTCAAGATATAGTTCCTCAAAAAAACCCATTCGTCCATCCATGCACCTGTGCATCCATCCATACATTAGAGAAAAAGAGCAATATCGCCATTCACCAAGTATAGTGACATGAACTGATGAGTGTGTGATAAAAGAGAGGGAAATTTGAAGCCAGGACAAGTCAATGCTAACCAAACAAAGCAGCCACCCCAAAGTTTGATCTGATACCAGATAAAGACAACACAGAAAGCCACCCTATAACATGTAATTTAAAGATTACCCTTTTGTTTCTTGTCTCAAGAATTTTCATATCCAGCCTAGAATTCCCAAAGTTGAATTCCTCAACCATCGATGACCATACTATCACCTGTCAAGCCCATGAGACTTTCCATTCCATCTTTGGCACTTTCTATTTCCTTCTTTCCGCCATCTGAATAATAGCCACTTGCATTTCCATTGCCAGTCAACACACCGCCACCTTCTCTCTCCGTACCGCATAACCTGTATTCATTAGATCCATCTCCCTTAGGTTCAATAATGGCTTCATCAAGTGCCCATCTCGCCAAAAACTTATCAACGCCTAATCTGTTCGCCTCCCCTTTTTCCATATGCCTACCAACATGTTCAGTCCAGTCATCCCAACTACCTGCGCCCTCAAACACGTTTGAGCAATCTGCTTTAGGGCAGGCGGATCTTTGAGGTGGCTGTCTTCTAGTTACCAAACACGAGGCTTGCATTTCCTTAACATGAGTTTCCCACTCCACTTGAAGTTTGGAGTCTCCTTTGGCAAGAGCTTTCTTAATTGCAAAAGGTGCATGCATACGTCGGAGATGTTGAGTAAATAGATCTTTGCGATTGAATTCGTTACCTTTGCCTTCGGCAGTGCTTTGAGGACAAGAAGAGCAGCGATAAAATGTCAAGCAAAGATGCTGAGAAGCAATATGTCGTTTCCACTCATTCTTAGAGCCAAAAGTGCTTGCGCATCCGGCAAAAGAGAAAGCACACGGAAACGGTCTTGTATGTGCAGCAGCGATATGTTTTCTCAAGGAAGACGAATCTTTAAATGGTGCATGACTGCACATTGAACATCGGGTATCTTGTTTAGGGCCTTGCTTTTGTGACGATCTCCGGGGCTTGGGTCTAGAGGCAGGTGAATTGAACTCTGAGTTGTACATTTGATCTTCGGCTCCAGATTCACCTTGGTCTTGAGACGACGCTGATTCTTCCCGGCCACTTCTGGGACCTGGGGAATCTTCGGAAGTTATGTGAGAGTGATTTCGATCATTTGGAGTCAGATTATCGTGACTAAGGTGTCGTACATGACTCAAAGCCTTGAGTTGTTCGGCTGCTTCATGCATCTCTACTGAGGTTTCAACGTCTTCTGTATGCTCGGGAAGATTTGCTGTACTAGTATCAGGATACAATACTTGGGGGATTGATTGAGGAGTAGAATTGATTGGGTCTTGTCTTATAGGTTCTTGTCGAGAGGGGGTTTGATGAACTATTTCTGGTTGTCTAGTTGGCTCTTGTTGAACTGGTTCATGTCTAGTCATTAGTGGTGTGGATGCAGCGGCCTCACGAGCTTCAAGTAGTATTTTACCATCTTCCAGTTCCTTGGTAGTTGCGGCTTTGCTCATAGGGGAAATTGCTCCAATCAAATGTTGATAATCTGTTGTCATGTTGTGAGAATTGATGTAACCCAAGAACAAACAAATTCCTTCGGCGGCCAAAACGTTCCATACCGCGATTGGCATAGAAACGAGGAGAATGGTAGGTGGTCCATGGAACATCCCTTCGACTGCAATTTTTGATGCTGCCAAAGGAGTATTGTGAAGCCACTGTTTGAAAGATGCCATATCTTGACTTGGCTCTCCAACAAAAGTGGTACAAACTAATGCTCTGACTTCTTCAAAAGTTAGGTCAGAATTTGAGTTGGCCTTGATTGGTTCCTCAATGCTTGATCCTGAGGCATTGTTCTCTGGTGAATCCGTTGGCGATGCTATCGAAGTGCTTGATCTTGGGGCCTGGCTCAGAGGAGATAGTGAAATGCTTTGCAATGATCCAGGGGTCAAGGAGAAAGATACGGGCATTCGCTCGTTGGCCGAAGCTGCCTTTCCTGCTCCATTTGTAAGTCCAGTGTGTGCCAGAAATCCATTGTGCTTTTGTGAAATGATCTCCTCATGGAGTCTTTGCGTACTGAAAGGACGGCCAGTACCAAGTTTATTAAGAGCTTCCGACAAGTGATAAGTAAATGAACGTGTTCCTGGTTCACGTGTAGCCTGTTCTGGACTATATGCAGCAATACCTTGCTTGATACCTTGGCTTCCCGCAACAGATGAATCTGTAGTTGCGCAAGAATCAAGTAACAGTAGAACATCAGGCTGCGCATCTTCGAGTAAATATTTAATACCTTCCCACTTAAATTTTGGAGCATCTTCGTGTGAATTGCTATTACATATCAGCGATAAGTCACAAGGCTCGATAAGCTTCCAATCTTACCAGGCCCAATATAATTGATGATCCGATCCCACAAACCCATAACCTGCATAATATACAATTAAAAGATTATTAGGCGCAGTTGATTCAATATGATGTGCAAGTTGCTTCACAAGTTTAATGTTAGGATTTGGGCCACTAGGGATATTCCAGGACTCGGTATGAAAATTAAAGCGTTCTTGGAAAACCTTCTGCAAGAGCAAAAGATCTTGCTCAACACTTAAATCTTCTTCCCATCGCAACAAAAGTACTGTAACACCCTTATATGGAGATCGATTTGCTTGCGCATAGATAAGCATTGCTGCATCTTGTAAATGACGGGCGAAAGACTCGAAATCGCTTCGCTCATTCGAAGGTGCGGGCTCTTGTAGGTTCGGCATAGCCTTATAATCGTACCTAGCTTGAGGAGACTGAACTGCACATTAGCAGGATATACCAGATTCAATGCGATGAATTGTTCACCTGTTCTTGAGTAGATTGCTCTGGAACTTTGGGTGCGAGACGTCGTTTCTTGCTGGAAGGCTCCATCTCCTGGTCGCACAATGCGATACTAAATGGTGTCAAAGATTTAGGAAAGGACGATAGACAAGAATTCAAGCTCTTTTCGATTATCTCAAGGACAAGATGATTGATTGAGAGATGTTGAGTGAAGTTTGATGGAGGAAGTTATTGTGTAAGGCTTCGTAGCCTGACGAGGCTCTTTTCGAGGCTGAAGTCTTTAATTTAGCCGAGCACTAAGGAACCTTAGTTCGAGAAGTGGCAAGGTAATGTTAATGCACGTGATATGCAATGAATATCTTTGTCTTACAAATAACGTGGTTTATCATCATGTGGGCTATATCATTATATGGGCCACTTTCACCTCAATTATTATCTCTTTACTTTAATATGCGATTTATTAATAATCTATTATAGAAATAATTAATAAAAAAGCACGAATCATTCTAGCTATTCAAGCTATTCAAAAAGACAAAAAATTAAGTATTCGAAAAGCTGCTAAGCTGTATAATATTCTGTATATAATAATTCAGTACAGAATGGATAATTTAATCCCTCGTATAGAATATTGATATAAAACCTATAAGATTATATAATTGAAAGAGAAAGTGATTATTCAATATATAATTGATATAGATAATAAAGGATTTCTGTTTAAATTCAGAAGTGTAGAAGATATAGTGAATTATATTTTTAAATCAAGAAATGCAAAGTCTATTAGAAAACTCTAGGTGTATTGATTTATAAAGTATTGAATTGAATTAAAGATGTGTTTTAATTGTGTTTATGATTTTCAAAAAGCTTTTTATAAAAATCCTAAGCTTATTAAGAAGTGATTTCAATTAGTTTCAAATATATAAACAAAATATAATATTCTCGATTGCGATTTCTATAACTTCAATGAAACGGGCTTTATGATGAGTATAATATGCTTCGGAATAGTAATAATTAGTACTGAATTGATTGATTGATTTAATTAACGTCCTTTTCTTAGTCCAAG